AAGTCATACTTCAAGTTGTTTTAATGAAAGTATTAAAATTTTATTAGCAAAAAAGTATAAAAACTTCTTGCGAACATCTTTTTTATGTGTGGTCAGAGGATTAGTGGAAAGAGTTTTTATTAATATTTGAATTCTGCCCTGCTTCTTCAATTGAATTAATTTAAAAATCAAGTTTTATAAGATCAATAAAATATAAGCAACAAGTTCTTAAATGGTAAAAAAGGTACTATTTATTTAAGATGAGGTCTTTTTTTTTTATCACTTCAGTTAAGTAAAATTCAAGATCAAGATCTTTTTCTTATTTTGATTAGGCAGTAAAATCAAATAGTTTTAATTCATGTTGAGCTTTAACTTTTTGATTACAATTGAAAATATATTTTTCTAGAAGTTATTAAAGATCATTATAGTCAATGAGAATTTCCATAAGTGAACTCTTCTATTATTATAAAATAAAAAAAAAAGATGAAAAATCTAATTTTTTGGATAATAGAAAATAATTACCAGTAAAATTTTTTTTAATTAGGTATGATTATTGGAAAATATTATATTAAAATAATATAATCCAGTTTTTATTGGGTTATATAAGAACCTGGATTTATTATAAGTTGTTTGTTAATTGCAGATAGATAAAAAATTATTGTTTAAAGAAAATTAGAATCAAGTATATCCTGGAAGTAAAGGTTCCTACTAAATTATTAGTCTTTTTAGACAATGCATAAGAAAAAAATTAAGATTAAGAATGGATAAGTTTCTCAAATAATCAGGAGAAAAAAGGATATTTCAATTGAGCATTTTTTATTAAAAAAAAGTTTTGCGAATCAGTCCTTTGAAGGAAGCTAGAGAATTTTATTTTATTTTATTTTTTTCATTTTCTTGTTTCCTTTTTCTTAACTTATCTTTTTATAATTTTCTATATTTCAGTGACTTGATAGAACATATGATAGTGAAAACCTGTTGACAATAAAGTAATGGACTAGAAGGATCTTTATTCAAAGATCATTATGGAGTAAAATATTATTATCAAGGTCAAACTTAGAGACTATTATTGTCTATAACAAGTTAATTAGATTTGATAGATATTTAGCTGTAGTATGTGTTATGCTACTCAAATGAAAATATACTTATTTTTTCAATTGATTAATAAACTATGATCTAACCTGATTGTGAATATTCCAAAAAAAAAAAAAAATTTATAAAAAAAGAAAAAAAGATATTAATAATCTTTAAAAATATTATTTAAGAAAAGTATAATGATTTAATTTAGTCAAAAAATCATTAAACTTCTTATAAATATCTTTGTATATACTATTAATTATATTTAATATAATTTATAAAACTTATTATCTTGATTTAATGAGAATAAAAAAACTTTGTTTAATTAAATAATAATAATCTTGATAATAAATTTTTTAATATAAATAAGTTGCTCGAGAATTTATTATTTAAATTTTATTAATTTCATGAATTTAAAATATATAAGAAAGATGTGTCAAATTAAGTATCAATTAATTTTTTAATTATTAATAGTATTAGAATATATGATGCAGTTGATAAATCAAAAAACTTTTTATATAATGGAGCGATAAATCACTCCCGAAGTTGCACTTGGAGTTTTGGATAAAAATTTTGACGAGTTAGTTAGAGATTTGGCTTTAGTGTCACATATACGTATAATGTATAGCCTACAATTGTTTAATAAAGCACACATAACTAGCCTGACAGAGGGTTAAAAAAAAAAAAAAAATCAAAAAACTTTTTACAAATGCTTTTATGTAAAAAAAAAATATTTTTTTTTGTATTTGCACCAGATTTTTTAATATTTATTTAAACAAATATCATTATTTCATATGATAATAATATTATCATAAAAAAAAAATTTTTTTTTATTAAATATAATAGCCTTTATAGGTACACTGTCTTCCGTTTGACTTTGGTATTGGCTCTATGATTTTAATTTTTTATTTCGAAATTTTAATTTAATCGAGATTATGAGTAAATCATGAATTTTATTTTTTCCATCTTATCTTTCCTAACTCAAGTTTTAAAATAAAAATTGTTTGCATCGTAATATTTGAGAAAATTCGAATTTTTTGGTTTTGTTTTTTTTTCTTTAATTTAATGAATTTGATAACAACAGAAAAATCACATGACGCTAAAAAAGACAAGTCATAGTCTATAGCTCATACGCCAGCATTTTTACAAACACCAAGTAACCTTTTTTTTTTTTTGAACTTTATCATTTAGTTAAAAAAAACAATGGATATCTTTTTATTCAGACATCTCTCGTCGTAAACTTCTCTAGCAATGAATTTCGGAGTAAGAGAAACAAAAAAGAAAGAGCTGTTTTATAATTATGAATACTTTTTATTGAAAATTATTTATTAAATATCGGCCGTTTCTAAATTGACTAATTACAACTTTTTTTTAAAAAAAATATTTTTTCTGTTAGTTTGCAGTACATGATTCTAACAGCATAAGAGCATTTTAATTAAACGAGCAAATGTTACGGGCAAAAATGAATCATCAGTTACTTATTCATGAATATAAAAAGAAAGCAAAGAAATGATAATAAAATACAGGGGTACTTGAAGAAATTATCGAGGAGAAAATTTCTTTGTGTGAGAGAAGAGTACAAAAATAAATAAATCGATGGATATTCTTTACGAATAAATTGATGCAGTAAGGAGCATCGATAATGACAGACCCATCTGAAAAACACCGTATGTACGTGAGATAACAAATAATCGCAAAGATCGTGAAAAATAAAACAATTCTTCATGCGTGTAAGTATAATGTTTAAGATGACACAGACGGAGTTGGAAATTTTTTTTAAAAAAAGAAAAGATTGAAAAGATAACCGCTCTAAAAAAAAAAAAAAGGTGGAATGTAGAATGTAGACAAGTAATGAAACACGACAGCGAATAGTATCTCAACATTACGCAAACAAAAACATAGATCACATGTTTTGCGGGTATCAAACTATTTCTTTCTGATTGTGCATATACTGTACGTAATATATAGTGACAGTTCGGAGAAAACGTAAACAATTACCGCATGATACGTAAAGATCCCGAAGCTTTAAACAGCAACATTCTAAAATAGATAAAACAAATAGAAAAACATGTTCTTTTTTAAAAAAAAGAAAAGCTGGCGGCGTTTTTTAGTGTCTAAATTTAATAATAACAATGGACGGATCTGAAGTTCCGAGATTATTCAAATTGTACGCGATTGCCAATTATAATTTATGCCAAAAAAGTTTATTAGGCCTAATAGAATTGCTTCGCTAATTTGGCTGTCGCACTAGCGCCATCGCACATTAAGGGTTCACGCATCAATATGTCATTAAGTATATTTATACCTGAGCTATATATAGTAAATACCATTTCTATAAATAGGAAGTTTTAATTAATATTGATTTTTGAACAGACATGACAAAAAAAAAAAAAACAAATGGGAGATCACTATTTTTACGTTCTCATATGTACTTAAATGCCCTCCTACAGGACGATAAATTGATAATGTATGATAAACACGATAAGATTTTTTGTTATTGATGTACTCAAGGCGTATACATGCAAAGGAATTTCGACCGATAGATTTGCACATCTCGCTTCCAAGAAAAAAAAAAAGAACCTGCCAAGACACGGGTAAACGTCGAATTGTGCAAAACCATCAATCGTCATATGTAATGATGACAACTTCGTTACATCCGAGAACTAAAAAAATTGCACTAACATATTTTTTGCCTCTGTTAACTTGGACGAAAAAGTTGTGTGAACTTCTAATTTTTCGGCTGAGCAAATAGGACCTCGTCTATAATTAACTGATGACAGAGAAATGTAACCACATCCCGCAAAGACGTAATATTACATTGCGTTCCTTAAATTTGTAAGGAAACATAAAGCGCCTATTTTAATTATTCTCCCACCTCTCCCTTTCCTTTAGATAGGAATTTCCGAGGGGTGCGTTCAATAGAAAAATAAATAAAAATATTGTAATTCTTATTATGGGTGACACACATTCTTCTCACTTTGTCAGATTTACAATACGGTGTCTTAAATAATAAAATTTAACGCATTCATTATGCGATAGTAAATATCCTCCTTCGTTAAACTATAAATATTGTGCCAAATTTAGACCATTACGCTTTAAATTTATCTTACGATTGAATGTTCCATGGAAGACTTATCCGAGGAAATCGTGGACATTGCATCCTTTCGTTTAACTATGAAGCTCCCAATTCGGTTCATGTTGTGCTTGGGAAGAAACAAACGACTCGGAGTAATGGCGTTTACACATTTCCTGTTTCAGCTTTGTGTGCACTCGAAAATTTTGTTATAAATACAAACGCCCAAATCTTAACTCGATCCTCACAACTTTCGGCAGAAAATTGGTGATTTAAATAAATAAATACCTAAAAAAAAAAATACATATATCATAATCGCTTGAAAGTTGTCTTGCCCTTTAGTACATAATGCGTTCTGCCAAGATCTTGTTCTCTTTACTTCTTCTCGTTGCGCTCGTTGCCGCGGCGCCTCACAACGAGAAGCGTGGATATGAATATTATCCCACTACCGAATGCCATTCGTCCTCTAGTTCCTCTAGTTCATGCCACTCTAGTAAGCATTCAACCTCCAGCGTATGCAAAAAACCACACATCAAGCCTCACAAGCACCACAAGACTGTTTGTGAGACCGTCTACACTACCACGACCCTACCAGCAACTGTGTACAGCACGTGCACCGTTGATGTGGATATCACCAAAACCGTTCCAGTCATCGTATACACTACATGCACCGAACCAACCACCGTGTATAGTACCTGCACCAAGGATACCACCGTGTTCAGCACCTGCACCAAGACCGTTGATGCTGATGTCACCACAACTGTTCCAGTCACTGTATACACTACCTGCACCAAGCCAACCACCGTGTTCAGTACCTGCACCAAGGATACCACCGTGTTCAGTACCTGCACCAAGGATACCACCGTATACAGCACCTGCACCAAGACCGTTGATGCTGATGTCACCACAACCGTTCCAGTCACCGTATATACTACGTGCACCGAGCCAACCACCGTGTTCAGTACCTGCACCAAGGATACCACCGTGTTCAGTACATGCACCGAACCAACCACCGTATACACCACTTGTACCGTCACCGAAAAGACCACTGTATATGAGACCTGCACCAAAACCGTGCACTAATTGGGGTCTCTTGGTAATTTCGCAAAGTTCACTCTTTTATCATTTATGATCACACAATCACGTAGTCATCTATACTCACCCATACCGGATCATTGTTTGCTCGAATGTACTATTAGGAATTAATGTGTTAATGTGTATTTTTATAGAATGTCATGTATTTTACGGGAAATAAAGGAATTTTACTAATACACAAAATCATACTCGAAAATGACAAAACATTATAAAGTAATTTCAACTGCAACTCTCAGAGTATTACTGTTCTTCGTTACAGAAGGTACCTCATTATGACAGATTTAATATTTTACTTTTCTGACCGGTTATAAAACAAAACCTATATTATATTCGGTAATATGGTTGCATAAAAACATTAAGGAAAATTATTTTTGATGGAGACCATTATCATTTTCGAATAAATTTTAGGATCACAATTATAGGATTCCTCAGTGCGTATTTATAGTATTTGCCAAATTATAAAAATTGATCACATTATACGGTCAACTCTCGATAAAAGAAACTGTGCACAATAGTCTATATTAGTTAATGATCAATGCGTTAAATTGAAAATAGTTACGATCATCAAAATTTTAATTTTTGAGTTTAATAACATATTACTAAAACTAATGTTTTAATAGATAATATACTATTAAGTAATCTTGTGTATTATATCTTTATTTACATATATATTAAATTTTATTAATTTCTATCAAATACTTAAAATTTACTCGGTAAAATATAATTGTCATTAATAAATGATTAAATTTTATAATCATTGTTTCTTAGAAAATTTTTTATTTTATTAAGTAAATTGATTTTAGTTAATTATATAAATATAATCATTACAATTAATTCTATTTATAGTAAGTTTTTTATTAAATTTTAATAAAAAATTATAATGTTATATATAAATATTAATAAAAAATTAAATTTATAATTAAACAATAAATTTCTATTTAAATTTAGTGAAAATTTCTTTAAATTTAGAAATAATATTAGAAATGTGTTTACTTAGTTAATAAAAGTATGTTTATATAGTAAAATAAAATATTTTATATGTAGCTATAGTTATAAATAAATTATAAACAATTTTATTATTTTCTAAGAATTATATTTACAATTTATGTAAATAATATTTATTTGATTTATATAAATAAATATACATATGATATAATATGATATTATATTTAAAATAAAAAAACCAATTCTTATATTTTTGTAAAATTTTTTGCTGCAAAAAATTGAGCATTTCTATATAATTACTATCCAAATCTAATTCAGAATTTTGTTCAATAAAATTAATAAGATTATTAATATTTTTGATTGCTAAATTAGATTTGACTTTTTTTTTGTTAAATAAAATCTATAATATCCTCATTTGTAATATCTAAATTTTTAAATGAGTTATCAATTATAATATAATTATTTATATTAATAATATTTCATAATTATATGGTAATTGATTAATCAATTCTTCTATTTCTTTTAAATTATATTGTTAAAATAGAATTACTTTTTTAATAATAATACTATCAAAACCAGGAGTTTGAGGACCATCTATTTCTTGAGAAATTTGAGAAGAAGAAATAATATTCATTTTTTCTCAACAGTTTGAAATAACATTAGAATTAATATTATCTCAAGCTTCTACAATTCAATTTATTACATATTTGATATTAATATATTCAAGAATTCTTTCAATATTATATGTCAAATTAAATTGATTCACCTTAAATTTTATCAATATTATTATTATTTTTTTTTTAAATTAACCCTCTGTCAGGTTAGTTAGGTGTGCTTTATTAAACCTTTGTAAACTATACATTAATATG